TAAAACTCCAATTTTGCGCCAGGAAGATCTGACTGCAGATTATGCCCAATGGCAATATGCGCGTGAGAAGGTATTGTGCAATACAGACTAGTTCCGCATGAAGGACTAAAAGTAGTTGGAGAGTAGAGAATACAAATTAGTAACGGGTAACTGCAACTTGTGGCAAAGTTACATACATAGTTTGTGATGCTAACAATATCTAACAGTTCTAAGAGGTGGCAGTTATAACTCTTCTAAGAAGCTGATCTACTTTCATATATAACAATAAAGACACCAATCATACTACTCTAACTCTATTAATAACTAGAGTTCCACGATCTCATACCTTCGCCAAATGATGTTAATCTTCATGACAGACAAAGTAAAGATTATTCCTCCTGATTATGCAAATAGGATCCTCATTTGCATGAATTATATAAGTTGATCATATTCTCCAACAAAAGACAGCCTTATCTTAACAAAGAAAACCATTCTACCATTTCCTCATAAATTATGCAAATGAGGTCCTTATTTGAATAAGTTATGTTTAATGATGTTCACCTTCACTTAACTTTCAAATACCCCAAGTATAAAATTCTAGGCAGTTACCATTATGGAATTATAACATTTCTTATTAATTATGCAAATTAAGAGTTAATTTACATAATCAAAAACTTCCTGTGTTTCTCTCGTTCTCAGTTACATATGTCACAAGCTTGAATAGTCCTATAATGTAATGCAGCTGATTTATAGAATTTCCTCATTAATTATGCAAATTACATCCAGATTTGCATAATTGTTGCATAATTATGTCAAGCGTCACTTAAGTTTCCTACATACCAAAAATCATGAAGATCCGTCCTCCGGTTCTTGAGTTATCCTCTTATGAATATTTTCAAAGAAATGGCCCTGCAGTTCCTGAGCAAGCCGCTAGGGGGCCCAAACCTATGTCAGTTGTTCCCCAGCACAAGACCTACTTACCATCCAAATTTCGTGACCCTAGCATGTCTAGATCATGAGATATCAAAACCGGAAGTTCAGCTGCAGTACCATAAGAAGCCGCTAGGGGGTCCAAAATCTAATCATTTCGAGGTCTCATCAAGACCTACCCACCTACCAAATATGAAGTCAATCCATTGAAGCCTTCCCAAGTTATCGTGTTTACAGACAGACAGACAGACAGACAGACAGACACACACACGAACGCCTACGAAAACATAACCTTCTTGGCGAAGGTAATAATATGTATTGCATGACTTTTATCTTGATACCGAGTGGTATGATAACGAGTGCGGTATTTATTTGCTCTCTTTTGACAGCCTGACCAAGGTTTGACGATGCAACAAGTTTGTTCGTTCATGAATATGAGTGTCATAAAGGATTGAAACCTCCTTGGTATCATCTTGCCTGTCCTGAAAACCCATGGGTCGTTTCTCATTTTTTATGTGGCCCAAATTCCCGAAAGATCTTAAAAACAAATCGGTAAGTATAGCTACCCGGAATTGTCAGCTGTGACCGCTGAAGGCATCGAAATGTGATCAACTACAGTTGGTAGTAGCCTCCTTCGCAGGCTTGTTGGGTGTGGGCGTTATTTTTGTGAGCGACGCGAGTAATATGCCGCCGCGAGGGACGATTTGCTGCCGAGGGAGTTTTGCCGCCGAGAGAAGGTTGTTGGAGCGCGAATCCTTCTCTCGGCGGCAAAAACTCCCTCGGCAGCAAATCGTCCCTCGCGGCGGCATATTGCGTCGCTCACAAAAATAACGCCCACACCCCCCCAACAAGACTGCGAAGGAGGCTAGGTTGGTAGAACGTGCAGTCGCGGCGAGCGAGCGACCGTGCGCTCTAAAACAGACAAGTGTCCATGACTTTTCCAGGCTAAATGAATAACACAATATTGCTTGATATAACAGTTAACTGTTACTGTTACAGTATTGAAGGACATAAACTTCAAAACTGCGTTTCTGTCACTGTCTTAACTGTCTTTATTTATTCATTTATTTTTATTTTTTATTAAGAAATTGTAACGTTAACATGGCAATACAAAGTGTGCACTAGGCAACAATTACTAGTAATAGCGTGCAGACCTAACACATACACCACATATAACATAGAAGCAACAATAAATAGTTAAAGCGAGATGTCTACACAAGTAAAATTATCTAATAATAAATCACACATGCAATTATAATAATCAATTTTATAACAGCAAATTAAACGTTTGGTGTGGCTCAGCTGTATCCGGAAGGAGCACAGAATCTTTTTGATTTGGCAGTGAACGTGTGGAGTGCATCTGTAACTGTCTAACTTGTCTAAGTCCCTGGGCGGTCGCATTAGACAAGTTTGAATACACTTTTTTCCTCATACTAGTACGTCATGATTGCGTACATGAGTCATTGTCAAAAAGCCCGCGCTTCCCAAATTGACCAATCACAATCCAGTTTTTGTAAGTTACAAATATAAGGCGATCTTACAACATGTCGCCGGGAGACAGCGTATCTTATGACAAGAAATCAGCTAATAAATTCCTTTTGTAACAAACATTTACCCAAAATCCACAAAATAAAACAGTGAAAAACCTAAAATTCTCAATAACTTTTTGATGACGAGAAGCCATGTCCGCTTGGGCGCATGCGCTCTCCTGTCAGTGAAGGCAACATGGCGGACGAACAGGTTGGTTGCTTGTTTACTGTTTTTCCCGGTACATTTTATTCGCAAATGCCTCTATCGTGTTGAGTCATAACCCGTTGATTCAGCACGTTTTAACCTCAGGCACATCTGGGACAAAAAATGCAAGGTTGTCGTGGGGAAATGTTGACAGGAGCGACAGAAATTGTTCCTGTTCATACCTGCATGCATGACGCTTGGTGTGGTGCCAGCACCAAAATTACCATCTATCAAAAACGTGAGCCTTGAAAACGTCGCTAACTCTACTCTTCCCTAGAATGTGTAGCTAAACAGTTTTTGATTGTATGATATCGAGACACCATACAGATAAATGATGTAACTATTGGTATGAAATTATTCAGGTAAATTATACTTGCTTGCCAAAATAATATTTTTATTTCAATTTGATGGTTGTTATTTTGTGCTCTTGCTACAAAGCACAAGTATAAAATATGGAACTGAAACAGCCAGAGTCGGATGTTCTCGTATCATAGTAATTTTGCGTGTGTGCATGCATATTTTTGTGGTTCTGTGATCGAACAGAAGTCAGAAGTAATATGAGAGAACTGTTATTATATGTGATAATATGTGGTCTTGACTATACAAAGAAATGATTAGATTGTTGTTGTTGTCCTTGTTTATCGTCTATTTTTCCGCTAGACGTGGTCCCATGGTTAGATTCTGACCCCCAGGTGCCTTTCTTTCAATCTGCAACTGAAGATTGATTTTGTAAGTTGGAAATCAAGATATTTTTGTAGGACTTGATTATGCAGGAGGCAGGAAATGAGGTATCTGGGGTAAGAAACTTCTTGCTGGAGACGATTCTGTAGACTTTGATGAAGATGATTCTGTAGCACAGTAGCATTACGATGGAAATGCAGATTCATGGCATCATGACAGTAAATCTGAATAATGGAAACCAGGGATCTCCCCAGAAATTTAGGACAGAATGGAGGAGGGTGCGAAATATCGGTAAATTTGACCAAAGAACCCTGGAAAAGGGTGTAAAAACACTAGTTTTGAAAATTAACAGGGTGGAGCTGAGATAAGGACTGGGTGGAGGAGCTCCACTGCTCCATTGTTTAGGGAGGTCCCTGGAAACACTGCAAACTTTAGCCTCCTTTTGTCTTGAGGCGTTCTGGGATTGGTAATTTTTTTTTTTGGTGGGGGGGGGGATTTTCCCTGGAGAGCTATGTAGGGTTGCCGGCCAGAGCTGCTATTGCGTGCCATCAACATTTGATCAGAAATCACCCCCCCAAAAAAAAACGACCGATCCGGAACACCTGAAAAGGAGGCTACGCAAACTTTTCAACATGTACAGTATGTTATATTAGGCCATGGTCAAGGTTTCTGGGAATCTGGGTAGTAGTCAAAGCTTACACTTTTTACAGACTCAGGAAGAATTGATGTACGCTTTAAGGTTAGGGGGCCCCCTTCAGGCTCCTTTTGTAACTGCAGGCACTTTTCGTTGTCGGAGAGGATAAGTTAATACACAATAAGGAATGAATGGATTTTCATGGTTCTTTGCTGGTTAGACTAACATATGCAAATTGAATTTGATCTGCATGATTACTGAGGAAACTTCATAATTTTTATTCATGGCAATGTAATATTTTATCTAGGAAGTGACAGTCAGTGATTCTGTTGTATTCTGTAGTTTACTGGATATCAATTATGGAAATGAGGACCTCATTTAAATGAGGTAAATCATTGATTATGGAGAAATGCCATACTAATAGCTTAGCAGTGAATGATGACAATTTCATCACCTTTACAAGATAACAAACAGTGAATATACGTATATTGTATATTGTAATCTTCCACTGGTTGTGACGGAACACATGAACCATGAACACATTACACCTACAGATCTATATTTTGCCTTCCATTCTAATTCCGCTTTTGTTACAACTGACAGCTCCAAAGATACTGTTATTTTACAAACTCTTCATATTCACTGTGTCACAAGATTTAATTAACGTTAAGGGGGGGTGCCCTAATTCCGACCTAACCCTAATTCCGTACTAGTTTGAAAAATCCTTGTTGCGGCGTTATGGATGGGAACATGTGCCTAAAAATAACCACAAGAATGGACAAAGATCTTGTGTTGATATCGGTAATCTCACAGAGTTTGTTTTAGTTCGTACATTCCGACAACAGACGAGTGAAAAATCTGTTTGAAATCGACGCTTGTTCGGGGGTTGACGAGCGTGTTAAAAAACGCAGCTTTGATTTTGAAATTGCAGCTTTGGAGCAAGTCACGTAATGGTAAAAATAAGACTTGTTTTGGACAGAAAAATAGTTGCAGATCGTTTTAGTCATAATTTGTGTATTTTAAATACTAAATTCTCTCATCAGATTAACCTTTGTAAAATACTAGGTCGGAATTAGGGCACCCCTTTTGCAATAGAACGTTCCACTGGCAAAATGACGAAAAACCTGCCGTACGTTTTGCGAACCATTACGCTTGGGTGCAAGGCGTTACACTGAAGTGAAATACACAGCTGTGCAGCTTTAATCGTTGTTATCTTTATCTGTAGATATTAAAGTTCGTGTTGTGCGGGTTTTTGGTGATTACCACGATTACCAAAAGTATGTGCGTTTGCATGGAACATAGGTTGGAATTAGGACCCCTCCCGTTATATTTATATACTGTAAAGTTTTAAGTTGAAAATGAATTTACAACATTGCCTCACGTGGAAAGTAAGTTACACGTATCTACAGGATATTTTAAGCAGCAACTTGACCTTGTTGACTTTCAACTGGTAGAAACAGGTATCATGTTACACATAGTACAGACTACCTACCTGCAAACGACAGAAAATGTTTCTGTCCTAAGGTGAAGAAACATTTCGAAAGAAAATGAAGATAACTTTCAGTTTTGAAGGATAAAAATGTCAGGCTTAGTGCCATTACTAGCATAATAACATTGACATTTTGTGGAACAGACTGGTAAATGTGCCAAAGCTCCTGTAGGTGATTTATCCAATATGCATGAACAAATATGGCTGTAGTCTAGACATAGTAGAGGTCAATTACAATATTTTAGATTTGTTTCTATTGCCTCAAGGTATAACACACGACACCAGTTCTGTACTTGTCTAAGTACATCATGCTGTAGAACTTGAGTGTGGGTGGATTACACCAGTTCAGTTAGAACTGACTGAACTGGTTTAATCCAGCCATACCTCGATGCACCCTTACTCACTAAGTGTGGGTGGATGGAGGTGTGGCTCCCTTCAAACAGGGGACCTCTGACTAATTTCCCACCTAAAGAAATGCAACCTTTTCAAGTAGAATGCAAGTCTGGTAAGTGGCAAATTGGCTTTGAGTAAAACGGTGAAGTTACAGTCATGGCAGGTTGTAGTAAAAATTTTGTTGTTGTACAATTTTAAACGGGCTGTGACAGAACCAACTGCTGACAAGGATCTTAAGACAATCTATTCTGTTACAAGACATGTACAGTTGACTTTTGCAGGGCACATAAACGACTTGCGCAAGAATGGCAGTTTGCCACCATACAACGATCATACAACTGTAACAGTTAAACAAATGTGTCCGGGCACTAACTCAACTGTATACAACATGGTACTTTTTATAAATGTGAGAGTGTATTTTGAACTTCCCTTTTATTTGTTGTGTAGGATCTGGCCAGTTTAGAGGTGCTGTGTAAACAGCTATATGAGACGACCAATGCCACAGAGAGACAGGAGGCTGAGAAAGCCCTGCTAAACTTCACCAACGCTCCAAACTGTTTGAACAAGTGTCAGCTTCTGCTGGAACGAGGGACGGTAAGGCTTAACATACATGTATTCCTGTGTTATTACAATGGGTTAGTAACAATGTCTTTCATTACTCTTCTTTTATTAGTATAAAATTATGATTAAAAGAAAATCTGCACATGTGTAAACATCTGTGTAAAGTCTGAGGTTAAGTTTTGTCCAAGTATCATTTACCCTCAGGCCATACCAATTTAATTTGTTGGTTCTCGGATTTTTTCAGAAAAAATATGAAGCGACAGGGCGAAAAAAAATAAAAATAAAAACAGGTCTAGGCGTCCTATTATAGGCTTAAATGCTACAAAATGAGCCATGAAGTCAACACAAAAGGCTGGGTTAAAATTAACATTGAATTTTGAACTTTTAATCAAATCACTGCAATGATAGATGGGAAAACTGTAACAACTAGGAAGAAAAGGACTTTCCTCACCTGTTGGGGGGCAAAATATGAGCATTTTTCAGTTGATTCAGGACCAGAATCAAATTTTTTTTTTTTTGCAAATCAGAAAAAAACGAAGAGGCGAATCCGAGAACCAACAAATTAAATTGGTATGGCCTCACAGCCAAACAAATAGATAAGTACCCTCATTCACCTAACCTCACATGACATAACAAAGTTTGTTATCCCTGTAGTCTGGATATGCCCAGCTGTTAGCTGCCTCCTCCCTTACCAAACTGGTGTCCAGGAACTCAGCTGGCTTACCACTGGAGCAGAGGATTGACATCAGTATGTATCAGCATGAATCAGGCTAAAACAAAGGTTTCAAAATACTGGGTGCAATTCTGTGAACCTGTTGTTGGAGCTGTGAACATTATTTTTCACTGAGTGTACAGGGTTATGTACATGTATGTAAAGCAACTATTTATGCATATTAGTATTTTAGACATTTAAGTGTTATGAAAGTAAGAGAATTTTGTGTTTTATCAGTTATTAAAAGTTTGCAATAGAATTTTAAAGTCAAAGTCTGAAGAAAGGTAGACATTTAATCTGTTTTATTTTTTTAATGTTGTGCACCAGTGCACCTGTATTTTGCAACAATGAATTTTGACTCCTGATACAATATAATGGTACCTCACAGTCTGTAGGCAGCTAGTTATATAAGGCTCTAATTGTCAAGGGATAACTATTTTGCTTCTAGACAAAGCAATAGTTTCTAATACAATACATTTTTTTCTGTTAGGAAACTATGTCCTGAACTACTTGGCTACAAGACCAAAGTTGGCCAACTTTGTCACGCAGGCCCTCATTCTGGTGAGTGTGTTTGGTATTGTCATTCATGTACAGTTTGTTTGTCTAAAAATATAAAATATACTAGTAAATCGCGGATAGCATATGATGTAAAAACCACAAGCACACCTTTGCTGAAAGAGTTTTTGTTTTCCAGAAGTTGTACATGTCACAGGTGTCATTTTAATAACAATAGTATGCTTCTTTTTTCAGCTATATGCCCGCATCACAAAGTTGGGCTGGTTTGACTCAGAAAAGGAGGACTTTATCTTCAGGAATGTCATTGATGAAGTGACAAAATTGTTACAGGTAATTACAACCCAAAAGAATTTTATCCATCTTAAACATCATGTCGTCTAGTATAATTGATGCTTAATGCATTAACAATCATGTTATAGTACAAGGGGAAAGTAATGCCTTTAATGAAGAATTTGTTATGTTAGTCCTTTAATTTCAACAAAGCTGTCAAAGTATGAAGAACCCACCATAAAATTGACTTGGAACATTGTCCTTATCATACATGTACACGGAGTCCCATTAAGAAATCTCTCTCTCTCTCTGTTTAAGGGCTCTGTCGAGCACTGTATCATCGGGGTGCAAATCCTGGCAGAGCTGACTAATGAGATGAACCAGCCAGACACAAGTAGGCCTCTCACAAAACACAGGAAGGTAAGAGGAGCGCTTGTCTGCTACTGGTCTATCAAAGCCTGGACTGATGCAGTACTCATATGAAAGTAGATGTACTATATATAATTTACATACAGGCATACACTCTATTCTAACTTTGGTTCGTTCATGAGATTAAAATTTCTTATATTGTTTGACACCTGTTGATGGAGAAGTGATTGGCATTTGAATATTCACATAAAATACAGGGGAGAGTTTTGATTGGCTCTGAGTCACATGGTCCTTGTAATGGCATGGTAACAACAGCACGTCGGCAGAACGTACGCAATGTATTGTACATAGCATTTCGGCAGAACGTCTCATATAAGATTGTATTCGCTCATATAAGGTTAGCATTTCGACAATAGTTTCCAAATGTTATGTCGGAAAGAATATCCTCTGCAACAGGCAGAATTCTGATGCAACGTTGACCAAAAATCCAACTAAAAACGCGAAAATACGGGGTTCTGCGCAGGCGCAGTACGTTCTGCCGGCGTGCTGGTAACAACATTGAAGTACCTTGAGCATCAATGATAATGTTGTTTCAAAATCTGTAATTATTGTGATCATCTTATGTACCTATTAACCTATTAGAAGACAGATGTATTTGGATGTTAAGTCAAGCCTTATTTCTCTTGTGACCACCCACCAGGTTGCATCGTCTTTTCGTGACACGATGCTGTATGATATATTCACCCTGTCCTGTACTTTGCTCAGACAGGTGGGTACATTTTACAGTAACTTAGTAGATTATTGAATGATGATTTTTGATAACTAGAAAGAACTACAAGGAATTTCTACAAATGTGTGATCATAACAAATGGGGTATCATTGTGAAGAAGAATTATCAAGCTTTCCAGAGCTGTATAAACTATAATACAAATCCATGCAGTAGATGAAGTAACAATGGAGAAAAGATTGACAAGGTCAAATTTAGAAGCATTTCAGTTTTTTCCTTTATGAGGATTGTTATTCATTATATTGCTCTCAGGTGTGTTCTAGTTATACAAATTTGGTAGCAGGACATGACACTTTGTTCATGGCTTCTTGGTAAACCAATTCTCTTTTTATGTGGACATCTCTTTTCCAGCTGAATGATGCATTTGGTGTTGTTTTGTCTTTCAGGCTTCTGGAAAGAACCTTAATTTCCAAGATGAGAACCAGGTAGTAAGTCGTGCAGTTCTTTTATATCAGGTTGCAGGGCTGAGATTTTTTCAAACATGAGTTGTGAAAATGAGACAATGTTTGTCTTTTACAGTTGCTTATAGAAAAAATTATCTATTATGATGACTTGTCGCTATATACAGACTATATTTGAAGTATCTTATGAGAATCTTTGCTTGTTGCTTTTAGTTGTATTTTTTTTTACTATTTACTGTTTTTTTAGTTATTGTACTTAGTTTAGTTATTGTACTTGTAGTAACATTAATATCATCATGAAATGGCCCTACCTCTGGGGTGTTGCCAAATAAAAGAAAAATACTTTTATTGTTGTACAAATAAAGCATCAATGTGGCAATGTTTTGTTGTTTACCTTGTACCTAACCAAATTTTTAAACATTTCTCCCAGCATTCCTTGATGACACAGCTGCTTCGGCTGGCTCATAGCTGTCTGACCTTTGACTTTATCGGAACGTCCACCGACGAGTCCTCAGACGACCTCTGTACTGTTCAGATTCCGACCAATTGGAGAACAGGTCAGGGGTCAACCACCGACTACATGTATATCTCCACCGTATGTGACGGAAGTCAGTATAGTCCCCAGGTCATGTCTCCCAAATCTTGGCGTCCTGGCAAGTAGTGATTTTTTCTAGAACTTAAAACATCAGCTGTGACCTGTTCAGTGTTGGTACCTTTGGGCTTCTGTAGTTGCTTGCCACTACTCTTTTCTACTGAAGTCTTTCCCATTATAGTGAGTACCATTTTTTGTTGTATATCATTTCATTTCTCTGGTAAGCACACTCTGATGTCATTTTTAAACTTGGTTCTTTAGATGTGATGGAGACAAGGTTGAATACTGTAAATCTGGAATATCGTGATGGTTATGTGTTAGAGGTTTTGTGGAAATCGTCACGCAACAAAGAGTTGTACAGTAATGCAATCTGTGTGCCCACTGCAAAACATAGGGAATGCCTCCCTTTCCCCCTACTGCAAAGTTACTCTCAATCTGCAAACTCAAATGAATTTGCAGGAGATTTCTGTCAAAGAACTAAGGGCACTGGGATTGCAAATCGAAAGCCGTAAATCTGCTGTTGATAGTTTTTATCAGTAGCTGTGTCACCTCTCTTCCTACCCATCATATTCAAATTACTGTCATGACTACATACTACATGTACAGTAATATTGATGGTGCTTCTCTTTTCTACAACTTCTGTGTCACATTGCTGGGCAACTTAATAGATTTCTTTCTTTCAATGATTTCATTTGCATAGTTTATGGAGGGGATAATTATTTTTGGAAGTACAGGGTTACGGAGCTTTACTTTAGTTACATTGGCTTGTAGTTTCCTTTGATACTGCCATGGTTTCCTTCACTGTGGATGACTACCTGTAGTACTGTGGATATCTATATTTGGTCTGTGCAAAGATCAGCTAATAGTAATACAATACAACCATGTATTGACATGATTGTACCTGTATGTTACCAAGATATGAACAAAACAGTTTTTTATGGACTACAGATTGAAAGTTGATCTTGAACCTTTAAAACTAGCAAATATATGTGTTTTGCCTCAATTGCAAATTCCATTGCAGTTATACCAGTTATCCACTTCCGAGTCAATTTTTTGTATGAGTTTTGTATGATTATTACGTGAAGCCGTATGATGGAGGTTATGATTTTCATGTTTCTTCCTATCAGTGACCCTTTCTTTTTCTTTTACAGTGTTTCTTGACCTTTCAACAGTGACATTATTCTTTGACCTGTATGAGACATTACCACCATCACTGTCCCCACTGGTAAGTACCTTTTTGGTCTTGCAATGAAAGATTTAAAACCTTTTCCAACACAAAGAATTGACTCATGCTTTCTAATTTATATAGTTCAGTGTCACTAGAACTAAGTAAGTTTACTGTCTATAAGTGTTGTTTACCTGGATGTCTAACCTTCATCAGTGTGTCTGCCCGTCCATTCTCCCCTGCAGTCCATCTCCTGTCTGGTGCAGATAGCCTCTGTCAGGAGATCCCTGTTCAACAATGCAGAAAGGGCCAAGTTCCTGTCCCACCTGGTACAGGGGGTGAAAAGGGTACTCAACAACCCTCAGGTACTGTTTCAACCTTATGCTGTTAAGTTGAATCTACCACTAACTAGGACTGCGTACCTATTTATTTATCTATTCAAATCACAAAATATACGGTGGTGCATGAGGCAGCAGGTCTTGCGTATGTTTTGTACCAGGAATTATAATTATAAAATGCAAATGATGCAGACTAGAAGAGCTAGAAGAAGATATAAAATAATATCAGTAAACTAAACCCTGTATGACATTTGTTTTTTTACAGGGTTTGTCGGAGCCAAGCAATTACCACGAGTTCTGCCGACTTCTCGCCAGACTGAAGTCAAACTACCAGCTGGGGGAGCTGGTCAAGGTCGACAACTACCCAGAAATCATTGCTCTCATAGCAAAGTTTACAGTGGAGAGTTTACAGGTGAATGGTCAAAGGTCATGAAGTAGATTCTGAAGGTTTTAATTTGGCTCCACAAAAATCATTTTGAGGTTGTACATCATACAATCCCCTCCATAGTTCTCAAAATGTTTTAGAAGTCTGAAATCTCCTATTTCATGTTCCAGATGTGGCAGTTTGCCCCCAACAGTGTTCACTACCTGCTCAGCCTATGGCAGCGTATGGTGGCGTCTGTGCCATATGTGAAGGCCACTGAGCCACATCTACTGGAAACCTACACACCTGAGGTCACCAAGGCATACATAACATCCAGACTGGAGTCTGTTCACCTAGTCATGAGGTAAGGGGAAGTTTGTATCATTTCTCCCTTAAGAGCAAAAAGTTTTCTGGAATTCAATTGATAACAGTTATTAAACCATTTCCTGCTTATTTTCAGGGATGGGTTTGAAGATCCCCTAGAAGACACTGGGTCCATACAACAACAACTAGATCAGGTAAGATTGGCATATTTAAGTTTTCATGGTGTTTAATTGTACAGTCCGTAACTTACCCAGGTACACTAACACTAAACTTAACAGTGTACAATAAAGTACCGACTAGTGGCACATCTCCCAGCATTTATGTTGAATATATTCATGTTGAAGTGAAATATGTGTATGTAGGGAATGCATGGGGGTAGTGATGCTCATATCATATTACAGAACACTCTTCTCACAAGTTAATTGTCTCCTGATAATGTATTTACTGAAAAGTAAATTTATTGGAAAATAAGACTTTCCCCCAGACTTGAGTGCTCCTTTAAGATGTGTCTTGTTGCCTTCTCAGCTGTCCACTATAGGCCGGTGTGAGTATGAGAAAACATGTACGCTGCTGATCCAGTTGTTTGATGAGTCGGCTCAGGCCTACCAGAGACTGATCCAGTCACCCGCACCAAACGGCACTGACTTAGCAATCCAGGAGGGTAAGGAGAAAAAAAACTTCCATTATTGTAGTATAAGGCTGCAACAATTTGATTACTGGACTGTTGGAGATTTGTAAGAAATAATGGAGGAAACAGGCAACTGAAAAAGTAATAGAAAAACAGAAATCCTACCAGTGTGACTGTAATTTTTCTCAATAATTTATAATGAAGGGAAAATACTGCAATCGTTTTAAAGAAAGATATCTGTGGTGCTACAAAAGTGTTTGCTGTCCTTGGTACTGAAATGACGATTACTTTATAGCAAGTCTTTATTTCTCATTGTCAGTTAACCACAATTCTCCCCTGTCTCCCCAGGTCGGCTGACATGGCTGGTGTACATCATCGGGGCTGTCATCGGTGGCCGTGTGTCCTTTGCAAGCTGTGACGAGCATGATGCTCTGGATGGAGAACTCGTCTGCAGGTAGGGACTAGTTATTACGTGCACTTTCTATTTGTGTTAAGCCTTAAGTTTAGGCATATTTGTTTTTATGACAGATGTTGCAAAGTAGCTCATTCACCACTATAATCTATCTTTTAGTTGTGTGCTCATATGTTTTTAGGTTCCCAAATGAAGTCTCCGTAGAATTAAGTCAGTGTGGCCTAATTTTGTGATAATCATGCACACTTTCCTTAGGAGGTAAGTCTGAAGTATTACCTTGTTTCTGTCCATGGCAGAGTCCTGCAGTTGATGAACTTGACAGACTCACGGCTGGCACAGGGAGGCAGCGAGAAGCTGGACTTGGCCATGCTCAGCTTCTTTGAGCAGTTTCGAAAGATCTATGTAGGCGACCAGGTGCAAAAGACGAGCAAGGTTTGTCTGTGGTCTTTTTTCCTGATCTTTTTTTTTCTACCTCATGCCTTTTGCCCAAGTCTTTAGTTGTGTGAGATGGACAGGCGTGATCGACGTTGAAGATCCCAACAATGTGTTGAAAAGCAAAGTAATGTTATTGTGATACAACCTAGAAACTTTACCTGGTTGATGTTCAGGTAACTCCCATTAGCAACATTTTTCAGGGCCTAAGTGGACTCTACTCTTCGTAGCTTTGTTGTGTAGTGGCAAGGAGTAGTAAAGTCCCTTCAGGCCCTGAGTTAGGTAGCTGAGGAGTTACATTACATTGCCAGGTTGGTTTCCTCTAGGTTGTTTCCCAAGAACTTTATTTTCCTATGACTTACCAATCGGACATTTATTCGCAAAATGTGACAACTACAAAAAAAAAATTTGGGAACAAATTTGGAAAAGGATGATAGAAACATTAAAACACAGCACATGTTTCCTTGCACTAGGTTCAGCCAACCGTCCTGGTCTGTATTGTTCTAGAATTGGGAATGTGGATGTGGGAATGTGGAAGTAGTAAACGGGGACCGCTTTGAAAAAACTGAAACTGAAAAGAAAATGGTTGTGTCAGTGGTTACAGATTTACTATTGGCCTTGCTTGGCATGTTGTCTTTTGTAGTAGATACCAGGCAATTGTCTTATTACACAAGTATATACATATAAAAAGGCCAGGGATGTATGATGGCATTGTAATCCTTTAGGAAAGTATATGTCTATTCACTTTTGCCAAATTTGCCTCTTTTTACATTTGTAAGCAGTCTGGATGTAACATCTATTTGAAAATCTATAGTCAGTATAGGAGATTCAAAATGTGTTGGAAATTGCTTGAGGTATTGCAAATGTCCATCATACAAGAGATGATACTGACTGTTAGATTTTGAATCATTTTGTTGCGTCGTAGTCTGTTGCAAAATGGGAAAACAAAGGCCTTGAAGCTTTAGGGTTGTCAATCTTCTTCGGCACAGTGCACATAAAAGCCCCTGGGCTGTCATCTCTTTATCTGGTACAAAATCTAGTTTAATAAGTTCTATAAAGAATCTGTTTCAAAAGTATCACCTGAAGTATTGGCAACCCTCATATCTGTAAATCAGAAATTAAAGATCATGATGTTGCAAGCATCCATTCCAGGGCTCGAAATTCATTTTTTGCCAATTAGGGTGGACAGCTCCAATTTGGGGGCACAAAAGTGCAGATGCACCCAGTATTTCGAGCCCTGCATTTTGTGGTGTCTGCATATAAGGGTGAAACACTGTTGTGTTTTCATGCAGACGAGTTGGCGCTACCTAGTGCAGGCAGTCCGTAAGGTAGGCCAGGCGCCCTCCTTGCAGTTTCCCCGCTAATGGCGCCGTCACATTCGTCGTAGGCCGTCGTTGTCCAGTTTTGATGTCAAAGAATTTTGGAGCAGGCTGTGACAAAACGATTAGCATCTAAGTCTGCCCTTTTAGTAACAAGACATCTGGAGTTGGAGTTTGCAGGATACATTTGAAACCAACTGCCTACAACTTTTTCAGACAGAATTTTCCTTAACAAGACAGCCAAATGGTGTACAACATATGCACGGCTATCCCAAGATTGCCTTTAGTTTGGGACTGTATGATGATCGTACGACGATATGTGACTGGACCCTAACCTGCATGTGGGCTTGCCTGCCTGCCAATTGTTCTTTTATTGCGGGGGAAAAATTGAAGACCCAGGGTTCATACAAAAAGACAGGAAAGCCTTGAAACTTGTACATTTCAAGGTTTCCGAACTTAGTTCTTTGTTGGGAAAAAAATAAACTCAATGATGATGCACCTGTCAGTAGAAGTCCAACCGGAAGTACTGGTACTTCTAGGGATTGTTGGACCTTCATTTTAATTTGACTGTGTCAGGTTGTATGAACCCTAAGTAGTACAGCATTCTTTGTTGATTCTACAGTGCACATGACTACATGTAAGTGACAGTGGGTATATTATCTGCCATTCAAAATAATATTGGGAAATACTAATGCAACCCAGTTCATCGTTTAGTTTGTATGTTTTGATTTTGTTGTTCAAACACATATTTACTCAGATTTATTGGGGTTATTAATTCACACTCACACTCACTGTCCAGTCTATTGGGGTATTGAAAAAAAAACAAATGCTCAATACTTTATGCTTCAGTGTTTCACGTACAAAAACGATGTTGAAGCTTCATAAATGTAATGTGCATAATATCGATCTCCACTAGTATCAGTGTATGCTGTATATTGATAAAATATTTTTTGATGTTAACATCAGTAACGGTTGCAGCAAAAGAATCCAGTCTACTTTGCAAGCTTGTAATCTCAAACTGTAAGACAGCCTAATTATGATAATCAAGAAGACATTTTATGATATAAGATATATACTTTTACACACACAATATGATGTATAGCGACTTGCAGTAATTTCCAAGCAGATATTAGGGGAGGCCAGGTCGTTGCCTGTGTCAACCTGCCTCTCCAGGAATGCCACCAAGTAGTTTGATTAGGAAATACTTCTGGAGAGTTAATTATAAGAAAAAGTAATGATTTAGCATCCACAACATCTGCTTGGAATAATTAACAAGCTGTTCATGTACAGTCAAACCCTCCCAAGAAGACTTTTTTGTCAGAAGCATACACCACCTATAGCATTGTCATAAAATGCGACCATGCAGTGAGAAATAGGCACAAGTCTCACCATGATTTTTGGCTAGTCATCATCAAAAGTCACCACATGCTTGAAAAATTCACAGTTGTCATGGTCAAGGATTAGGCCATGTGCAGCCCCAATTCATGCTGGTCGTGTTGGACAGGTGGTCTTCTCGAAGAGGTGGTCGCTTGGGCAGGTTTGACTGTACTGTACTTGCAGTCATGACAGATCATACCCAGATGTTCTACAAATCAGCATTATTTTTTGTTGCTATGTCTTTAGGCAGTTCTCCATTGTTTTATACTCCACATACAGAAACAAAACTCAAGGAAGTCAAACACATATTTTGAAGCACTATATCAGCCTCTGTCTTGCAGTTTCTTGTTTGATTGATAAACCTTGATTGATTGAATGATTGATGTATTGATTGATTGGTCAGTTGGTTGATTTTGTTAGGTTGAGTCTTTGTCTATAAATGAAGTTCTCAAGTCTGTTGGCTGCTTGGCTTATTGAGGTTATGAGGGAAGAGGTGAGGGTCTGACAAAATATAACAAAGATGCAGATGCAAGTCATAAACATGATTGATTGATTGATTGATTAACCTTCCTATCCTTTCCCCTCAGGTTTACAAGCGACTGTCAGAAGTTCTCGGGCTGAATGACGAATCAATGGTCCTGAGTGTGTTCATTGGGAAAATGTACGTGTTCAGGTTGCCTGCCATCATTGCCTGAAACATTATTGGCAATATGTGAAGTACATGTACTGCATTGTACAGTGGAACAAAATGCAATAATGAGTAAGGCATTGTTTGATTTTTGGTCTGTATCACAAGGTACATTTTGTACCTGTATCTGTATCTGTATTCACAAGCTGTAAGCCTTAGTCTAAGTCTCCAGCTGAATGTATTTGATTGGTTCACAGTATCACCAACTTGAAGTACTGGGGCTCCAGCGAGTCTATTATTTCCCGGACACTACAACTCCTGAGCGACTTGTCTGTTGGATATCCTTTTGTTACTTCATCCCAGAGGAGTGAAGTTACTGTATTGTTTTTGGTTGGCTTGTCTGTGTGTGTGTGTGTGTGTGTGTGTGTGCGTGTGTGTGTGGATGGGCATATGTATGTGTGTATGTTTATGTGTACATGTGTATATATGTGGCATTCAAAAGATCACAAAGCATCGTGGTAAAGGGGCAATGCCTGCCATGTCTGATTACCATGTTACACAATGTAAATGTGGATGGGTCATTTTTAATCTGTAAACATGTGTTAAGGCTCTCATTGTACTTCCTTGTGTAGCATTTTTGGATAATGAATGTTTGCCTTGTGCTACAGGCATAATGCCCCATACTTGTAAAGTATCTACTTGAATGTCATGTTGTCATTTATGTCATAGTGTAGAATAGTAAAGTGAAGTCTGTTTGGTTTGTCCTTAACGCTGTCTCACCTACAGCAGTGTTCGTAAGTTGGTAAAGCTGGAGGCTGTGCAGTTTGTGCTGAATAATCATACGGTAAGCTATTGTACATGTACAGTAGCATGGAAGCTGTTTCTGCATAGTACAGTGGAAGCATGGGGCATGCATCTATTGCAGAGTGTTTGAGTTCCTGTTTTTCTCTGCAAAAATCATAGAAGCTAATAGTGCAATATGTTTGATTATGGTGTTGAACAGTGTATATTTTATTATGTTCTTTATGCTGTCAGTGTTAAACGAGAAATTGTCTTCTTTCATTTAATGTACATGTATGTCATGAGTGACAGCCAGTAAAGGTTAGTCACACCTGTTCTTCCACACATTCATGTGTGGTGAAGTTTGATAAACAAGCTGACAAATTTGTCTGCACCTTCCAGAGCGAACATTTCCCTTTCCTGGGGGTGAACACGACCAACCCGCTGGGTGACATGCGGTGTCGGACGACGTTTTACATTGCCCTGGGGCGGCTGCTGATGGTGGATCTGGGGGAGGATGAGGAGAGGTTTGAACAGTTCATGCTGCCCCTCACCTCCGCGTTCGAGTCGGTTGGACAGCAGCTGTCCAACATGGACCGGGGTGGGCCATTCAATGAGGAACAGACAAAGGTTAGTTGGTATTAAGGTTCTGTACAATTGGCATCTTGTGGCACTAGAGTTTGGCCCAAAATTAAGAGGTTCAACTGTATTATGTTACTTTGAATTTACATTGTACATTATACAGCATCAGATTTATTTTCTCCTCTTACAATTTTTGTCAATGCAGAGAACGTTGATTGGTTTGGCTCGGGACCTCCGAGGGGTGGTGTTCGCCTTCAACACAAAAACCAGCTACATGATGCTTTTTGACTGGATGTATCCTTTTGACTTGGCACTGGAATACATGGCACTTACATGTATTTACATCGCATGTAGTGTGTTGTAGAGGGAATGTAGAATGTAATTTTAAAAGTTTTCATTGTTGAAAAATTTTATTTGTTTCAAACAAGCTTAGAAGATGATTGGCAAAAATTAATTTTTAGACTAGCTGGTTGTTGTCATATGCAGATTCTGAAAGATGATTCTCAAGGACATACTGTTATTCTGGGTACATAAGTACTGTTTTGGGTGGCTGACTCATGGGTTTGTATGTCAGTTTGTCTGGATAGAGAAGGTGGGTGGGGGAAGATTACCAGGCAGAATGACAGGAGGTCAAAGGTCTCAGAATCTGCGTGGGAGTCAACATGGGGGAATTCAGGAAGCCGAGGATATCACACTTCCCATAAGTTCAAAATCTCAGATTTCCTGTCAGTAAACTGGATATGTCCCTAACCATAGTCTCAGGTACCCCTCCTACCACCCCATCCTGCTGCGAGCGGCAGAGCTGTGGTACCACGACCCTTTAGTCACCACCCCGGTCCTCAAGCTGATGGCAGAACTGGTCCAGAACCGGTCTCAGCGGCTGCAGTTTGACGTGTCCTCCCCCAACGGCATTCTTCTCTTCAGGGAAACCAGCAAGATGTTGGTCAGCTATGGTGAGTGGCACAGCTGAATTTTGGAAAGTTGCCTTCTGTGTGTTTGTCTAAGCCTTTGTTTATTCATTAAATATTCCAAATGGCCTTCTGACTGCTTCCCCTTTTGAGGGAAGATGTCAGGATCAGATAAAGTGTAACAAGGTACAGGTTACATGGTTGAAGTCCTAACAAAGGTGGTCTTGTGTTTAGGGTTGTTGATTTGGAATTGAGATAATCCCTAGCTGACTGCAATGTTGTACCCTTGGGAGAGGCACTTTACACCAGTTCTATTTCCTCCCCATGAACTTAATTGTCTCTTACTGTTTTTGACAGTTTTTGGCATTGCATGCATCTCTCTATGTTTGTGTTGTGTTTATCCTACAGGGAGTAGAGTTCTAACGTTAGGAGAGGTACCCAAGGACCAGATCTACGCCCTGAAGTTGAAGGGTATCGCCATCTGTTTCTCCATGCTGAAGGCAGCCCTGTGTGGTGGTTATGTTAACTTCGGAGTCTTCAGACTATACGGGGATGGAGCACTAGATGATGCTCTCAACATATTTATCAAACTACTTCTGGCCATTCCACATAGTGACTTACTGGTGGGTGTTTAGATGAAAACTACTTCACAGAAATTGCTTTGTAAGGTGACAGTTGATTTTTGCTGCTTCAGTTTTCTCAGAATTGAAGGAAAAAGGTCACATGTATCACAAATCAACCTTCAGCCTACTCATATTTATTTTGTATTTCTATTTAGTAGTTTGAAGTTGATTATACAACACCATACCTTTAGCTGCATCAATAAAGCTTCTATTTGGCAGCAACAGTTAAAAAGTTGATTCCTTAGGTTATAGGTCACATATTTACTAGTTATTTGAAATTGAGTCTTGTCAGAACTTGAAGCTGTTTTGTTTTTGTTCTTCAGGACTATCCAAAGTTGAGCCAAGCCTACTACTCGTTGTTAGAGTGCCTTGCCCAGGATCACATGAACTTCATCAGCAACTTGGACCCCCCAGTGTTCATGTACATACTGTCTTCAATACAGGAGGGGCGTCACAGCTCTAGGTACACTTTGTTTGTTTGTTTGTTTGAGCCTTTGTTTTTGTGCTCAGATCATTAATTCAAGATCAAGAATGTTTGCAAACCACTGATTAGTCACCAAACTAGAATACTATGTAGAACTTTTAGACCTGTTGTAGTTTCTATCTCTAGCCATTGTTCACAACAGCAGGTTATAGAAAAAAGATAATGTTGAGAAAAGGTGTTGATGTTCCTTGCATTTATCAACTTGTACAGGTTTTGTTGTGACTTGCTCTTAGCCTGTTGTTACAACACAAGTCTTCCTTCATCAATGTTGTTACCTTCTGGTTCTGTCCCTTGCAGATACGATGGTATGCACGGGGTGCTGTGCCACACTGGACCACATTGTCACCTACTTATTCAAGAGATTATCCAAGGGGAACAAAAAACGCCCAACAGCCTCCTCTATGCAAGAAAACGATGCATTCCTGAGAATACTGGAGGTCCACCCTGAAATATTCCAACAGGTTTGTACATTTTGCATGTAGTTTGCCTTTTTGGATCAATTGAATCTGGTAGATTTACTACATTGAATTGGAGTAGTAGCTTATAATATAGAACTCAAGACTGCTAGATAACAAAATCAAACAAAGGAAATATAGCTGAATGTAAAAAGACGATAGCATGTCCAGGAAAAAAGATACAAACACGGAAGTTCAGTTGTAGTGAGTGGAAGGCGTTCAGCACCAAGGACAGACATTACCTACTGTCAGGCCTAAATCAACTGTGACCTTTGTCTTCTCAAGACCTACCTACACACCAAATGTCACAATCCATCCATACCTTCATCCACACACACAAAGATACATGTTTTTCACAGTTTTACATGCATAATACATGTATGTATCTCGGACGATTCTTGTTTTTTTAGATGCTGTCCACAGTGCTGAATATCATCATGTTTGAAGACTGCAGAAACCAGTGGTCGATGTCCCGTCCACTCCTGGGCCTCATCCTTCTCAATGAAGAGGTAACTACTTCAGTATGTAGAAAATCTCTTTTATTTTCACTAAAGGACTCTTAAGTTGTTTCATGTTTATGTTCGTGTTTACTCTTTATGCTTATGTTTGTGCATATGTTCAATAATATTTATGTTTGTGCTTATGTTCAATTTATGTCTGTGCTTATGTTCAATTTATGTCTGTGCTTATGCTCATTTCCACCTTATGCTTGTGCTTATGTTGATGCTTTATGTTACGGTAATTCTTGCAGTGCCAGTACTATGCTGGGTGTTAGCAAAACAATCAACAGTCAAGCACTGAAGTGGTTACAAGAGGCATGTTTCTTTCTAACTTTGACTATTTTTTATGTTTCAGTATTTCAACGAGTTGAGGAAAACTATCATCAGCTCGCAGCCGCCTGACAAGCAGCAGGCCATGGCACTGTGCTTCGAGAACCTCATGGATGGGATAGAAAGGTCTCTGCTTACAAAGAACAGAGATAGGTGAGGAATTCAATACAGTTTGAGCACATGTTTAGTATATCACAGTTCAGGGCTCAAAATACCAACTTAGTGCAGGTAACATTGGAACTGTACTGGTAGCTCCTCCTAACCTGCACTGGTACATGTACTGGGTTTAGTATACATATAGGTGAATGTGGGTTTTGTGGCTGCATTGACTGTTTCCACCTATGAAGTATAAAAGAAATTATGTCAGTTTTCAGTATGATCCCTTCTTCCAAAATCTATGAGTGCAGGTAAAATTTGTCTGGTGCAGGTAATTTCCAATGCCTTAAAATATATACATGTATATGTATATCAAGACTTAAGTTTTGTGCATTGAAATGTGTATACATGTAGTTCATGCTAAAACAAGTGTCTTTTTTTCCAACACAGATTCACACAAAACCTGTCTGTCTTCAGAAGAGATGTGAACGATTCCCTTAAGGCTCCCTCCAGCTCACCTGTAGGCTTAAACTCTGCTGACATGATGAACTAATGTGGTCAAAAACTGGAAAATCTGCAATATACATGTTATAAGTTAGACCTGGTCTTGATGGGAATCAGAATCTACACCAGGACTGTCTCCTGCTATAATTTCTTTCCATCCCACTTATTGTTTTGCAGCACATACACCTTCCCCAGCTTGGGTTGGTACAGGAATATAGTATATTGTAAAGCTTGTAAAGCAAGGCTACTGAAGGGGAAAAGTTGTCCTGTGGCACAGAATACTTGATAGCGAAATGATTTCCAAATGCTATATTTCTAAGCACTTGATGACCAAGCACTTTGGATTGTTGCTTCCCACCCAAAGAGGACAATGTAATGCCTGTTATGAAACCATCCGCCAGCTTGTTTTAAAGACTATGATGATAGTGTTTATATACATGGCACTGAAATTCAAACCACCTTTGAGGGCGGTGTATATGGTGAAGCCTCTTTCCACTAGAGGCTGTGACTGCTGAGCAACCAAAGATTTGACAGGTTGCTCAATAAATTTCATAGGTACCGAATTTGTTGTTTTTAAAAACATACTTGAACATTGCGCACCATATTCCAATTACAAAATCAAGGGTCTCAAAAGTCCAACTTTGGTTGTTCAGCGGTCGCGGTCAAAGGGAAAAGTGGATTTTACTGAGCGTTATCTGTTGTTGTCTCTCAGTGCTCATTATGGATCATCAGGGATGTAATTGTTGCATTCTGAATCATGGCAAGTACATTAGGAGGGAATTTACACTTCTTAAGTCTAGTATTGTCAGATGGGACTAGATACATGATGTACATGTAAGCCATTTCTAGAATTTGAATACAACTTTTGATAAGATGATTATACTGTAATGTGGTGGGGGAAATGTCTTGTATGTACTGCTTTCTATATGATATTAAAATGTAAGACAATAGCTCTGTCATGTCTGATTTTATTGTCAGTTTGGCCACTTCAATTCCTTGGTTCTTAGATTCACCCGTTTGATTTTTTTGTCAAATGTGACATTCTGGACTGGACACATATCAAGCTGTTGAGAAGTTGAAACATTTTGGAATACAATTTCAGACATTTTAAGACCTAAACATATGGTGCCTGAAAGCTACATTGCATTACTGTACAAGTGTACATATTATGTTACACATAGTGAATTATTTTAACCTAAAACCTGTCTGTGTCTGTCCTTAAATCTGTGCCTTCACAAGAATGGTTAAATTGGATTCTGAGCAGGCACAGGTCGTTTTGTTTGTACAATGTCATGTATGTCTGAATAGTTTAGACTTCTCATATGTTAGAACTGTCTAAAAAGCGCCCAAAACAAACCTAGTCTTTGCTTTGAGAGTATGTTACAACATCCCTACACAACTACGTTCGTTAAGCCCTAGAGACAGCCCGAACCTATCAGAACATAGGGGTGTTAGAACATAACCCCGTACGAATGTAGAGCTTTAGGACACCATGCCTTTTTCTCTAGACATCAAGGTTAAAGTTCAGGATCCGTGCCCTTCCATTGAAGACTGTCACTTGTTTGCTCCTGGTGATGCCGTTGTAAGAAGCAGTGACTGTGTAGGTACCAGGGACTAGCATTCTCCAGTAATCACCGTCTTTTGCTGCAAGTAGCAAAACATATTACTGTCCACATCTCATATATCCTTTAATTTAATCATTAGACCATTGACTACTGCTGACCATTATTATATACTGTAATGTTTGTAGATCACATTGCCCCCCTCCCAGTCTATCAAAGAGTTTTCACCTATGAGTATGGAAGTATTGTTTTGGGTGGCTCAGGGTTTATGAATTTGTCCAAGGAACTTTTTAAAAAAGCTTACTTGGTTTGTCCTAATTGATTTTGGTTCCATGGTGGATTGGAGGTGATTTTGGCTGTTAATTGATAAGGAGGTGTCTGAATGTGATATCCTATTAAACTACACCATACAGTTCTGTCCACAGTTTCCCAAACACATTTCGCAGGTCTGTGAACACGAAGGCGACCAAAACCCAAAATACTTAAGATTTCTTGTTTCTGGTAATGTTGCTGACATGACACCCCCCCCCCCCCACAAAAACACCAGCCCTAGACCCTGCTAGGTAGGACTTAAACGCACCTGTTGTGACGTCATGATTAATCCCGTGTACGTGAATGACCGCTCCCTCGATAGGATTTAGATCACGATCCAACACGAAGCCTCTTATGCCTTTGTGAGCCTAGGGAAGTAAGGAAAAAGATACTGCAGGCATGTGATGTGTTTTAAAAATACTACTTTAGCACAGCTGAATTTGTACGACACAGTTCGCAATGGTACGACGATAGTGCCACGACTGTGACCAGGCCCTTACCTGGTCGATGTAAGAAAGCAGCGCCTTCCTGTTGTTTCTCCACTCCGTCGGAAGAACGTTTGCCTTCGGGAATTTGTCGCACGACAGTTCCAGAGTGATGTCAAAACAGTTGGTGTGAAGGTAGTTAAAATCTTGCATTCCTGGAAGCAGTGTCAAAACAAGAAATTTGTAGGCATGCATTGTTCTTATTTATGACATAATGCAAGTGTTCAGTGAATACTAGCCAAGATAAAATCCTGTCTGTATTGTTGTGTGGACAGGTGGTCTTGACAGGTTTCTTAATGTTTGTATCAATGAATTGTGTAAGAGACCACCCAAAAATGGTCACATTGGCCAGGTTGTCCTAATGTGGTCTGGAGGTGGACAAATGTGCGTGTTTGACATGTATTTCATTCATGACAATGGAAGCAACCTTCTGATTGACAGGAAGAAAACTTGATGCCTTGAAGTCTTACGTACCTCCGGTGGTGGTGTACCAAGCGGCTCCGTTTGTGATGCCGCCCTGGCTGCTGAAATCCGAGCCGGAGTCACAGCCTGAGTCAGCCATGGTCCTGTGAGCATCAGCGTAGGCAGAGGCAAGCTGGCGGAAGATGGCATCATCGGGGGAACGTGCGTAGCTTTGCCATGAGCCGTCTATTAAGAGGCAGCATTTTGATTGGTTAACAAAACGTCAATAATGATGCATCTATGGATAAGGATTGCTGTATCTGTATAGCCTGTATAAAGGCATATCGGTTGCACCAAGGCATATTTTCGGCGTTAGCTTTTTCTTTTCTTTGAGAACGTTAAGTCTTTTTGGGGGTCTCGGAAATGAGACAAACGAGAATAAAAATTTTAAGATCAAAAAGTACTATACCTTTAGATTGGTCGTAAGGGTAGTTTGCTAACAACGCTCCGTCGTGTAAATTGGCACTTAGGACGAACGGATGCCGCTTTATCCATTTGATGACAGCCTCCGTTTCAGGTGCGACATTCTGTACAAAAAGGTAACAGAGTGGGCTTGGATATTAAAGTTCTTCTCACACAACCAAAGTAAGAACACATACCAACGTTTCCGAAGTCAGTCTGCTACCTTCCTTAGGGTAAAAATTATCGGGGCTACTTTTCGCCACTAGGTGGCGCTGCGACGAGAATGCGGTCCCGATCGTGAGTTTGTATCCCCGCCCGTCTCGGTCAATGACTGGTGTACTCACGTTTGGGACCGCACGTGCATGTAAAGAACGAACTGGTTATCCATTGGTTTACCAATCTGATGAAACGATGAACAGAAAAAAGATAGTTGAGAGATTGGACAGGAAAGATGCAGGAAGGGATAAAGGAGAAAGAAAAAGAAAAAGAAAGAACGCATACCCCTTTCCAGTAACTGTCTGGAATAGGAATGTGGTGAGTCGGACCGCCATGTTGGTCACTGCGGTAGGCGATGGTGTTGAGCGCTGGGAAGTTTCTGTTGAGGTCAATGCCCTGGACGTTCTCCCGGCCACTCATCCAGCTGTTATCCGGGCCCTAACAGACATGACAAAATGGGCAGTACCATTCAATGTCTATGGTTTACAGAAATGGCGAAAAGGGTTATCAAAGGCTAATACATGCACTAGGCAAAACAAGAAGTCAGCGATTTTAGACTTCCGAGGAGTAGTTTGAGGTTTTTGTGACCTTGAAATTCACAGATCTGTGGAAAGGGTTTTCGTAAATGATTTGCAACGGTGGGTGTGCGCGCACACACAAAACAATATCTCTTATTCCAATCAGGTGATGAGAAGAAAATGCCATCCATGAGCGAGTGTGTAAACTTTGTGCCAGACTCTTACCCGCCGTGCTGCGATTTCGTATCCGTCAGGGTTCATGGAGGCGAGGATGTGGATCCTGGTGGTTTTTATCAGCCGCTTCACCCGTCTGACGCTGTTATAGCTGTCGGAATGTTAGGGTTATAAGTTTAATCAAGAAAAATCAGCATCTCTTACATACTTACTGGCAACGAACACTCAATCTGAAGTAACTGATACTCATTTCTCGGTATATACAGACCAACGTTGCACTTGTCATCACTCTTAGTCACTGCTGCTATTACAGAGATATTGCATGAAGAGGAGTAAAATCTCGTGGTTCTCATGAGTTAGAAGTGTATTTCCACAAGCCCCCCGGGAGGAGGTCCAATCAGGCTATAACAGGCGAGAGATAGTGAAATACAGGCTTAATGTTTACCTGTTACAGAGATACTGCATGAAGAGGAGTAACATCTCCCGACCGGTCACCTCGTTCCCGTGCATGTTGGCCACGTACTTCACCTCAGGCTCCCCTGGGGGTGAAAAACAAACCTTTTTATGCTTCTTTTTACGCTATCTATGAAGGAAAGAATTAATGAATTAATGTTTGATTTACCATTGAGCCTTGTGACAAATTCACGTAGTCCATATAGGCTTATAAGACACCAGAATAAGTATAACTTAACATCCAATCAAAAGCGATAAAGGTAACAGCGAGATACCTGATTATAGCAAGTGTGTGTTTGGGAAGAGAGAGACACTAGTGATATGAATTAAATCTGGAACCAGGTTAACTCCAGTCTGCATGTTCCCTTCGGTTATACACCTCGTCCAGACCAAGTTAAACATTTACGTCACAGACTGACTTCAATGTAAACTTTCATTCGGTACTCCATAATCTTGGTTAGCTTTAATTTCCGGACCCCATACGGTCTCGTGTAAACCTTAGTCAAAGTCAGCAAAGCTTGGCCGGATAAAAGGTCAAGTAAACCATTCGTAACGTAATGAGTGTGGAGTCATTTTAGTCTAATTTACTTAAATTGTTAAATGCTTTGAAATATTAGAAACTGTAAGAAATTCTCAATTCAGATTTGATTTTCTGTTTTAAATTTACTAACAAATCAAATCAAATCAAACCAAAGCGAAACAAATGTTCAAGAAAATGGAATTAGTAATACTTCTGTCTTTTGATAGACGTACTAAACAAAATTTGAGATGTGAGGTATGTTCCCCGAACCTTTATTTCTATGCTTTGCCACGACTATCCCAGGAATGGCCTCAGTTTGCGTTCGTACGACGATCGTTCTATTTCTCTAAAAGCTGTTAAAGTTAAACATCCTCAAAATTGAACCATCATGTCTTGGCGATCTCTGACCTGGCTCGTGGATATCCGGGTTGTCAGAGAACACGATGACTGTGAGGTTCCTGCCCTGCACACTCCGCCCGATGTTGTACACCCTGCTGATGTCCGGGCACGCCGCGTGCGTCTCCGCGAGGATTCTCTGCAGATCACCATATCTGCCGAGACGATACCATGTTAGAGTTCGCCAAATATCAGAGTGTGCCAAATATCAGTGTGCCAAATATCAGTGTACTAGTTTGCTAAATACTAGTATAAGAGTGTGCCAAATATCAGAGTGTGTCAAATCCATTAAGCATGGAGCGAACTTTATTGATAACCTAGAAAATTTAACTCGGGTCGACTGTTTGATTTAAATGCTATATCTGATAGCCCTAATCTCTGTTATGTCCTTAGAGGCTCACCTTCCACAACTACTGAATGCGATTCCAAAAGTATGCTACTTACACAAATATACATGAATATACAGCGCTTTTAGGATTTTAGGATTGGCGTGCTTTAGGATTGGTATTACATTTATTTACATATACATATATATATATTTATTTTATATGTGGTGCTGTTAGAAAAAAATGCACTTTTCGTCTTATTTTTTATGTGGATTAATAAAAAAAATTGCCATACCGGTGATGGGCGAACTCGTAACGTAGCCTCACTCCGAGTGTTGTCTGTATGGTCAGTAGAACAAAGGAAAGCTTCCAGATGTTTGTCATGTTGGGCGTTGTGCTCTTTGTTCATGGGCCTCCACAGCTACAGAAGAGGTCAGGATGCTAAACATCATTCAGGAAGAAAGTACCGGTGGTGAGTTTATTGTCCCGTCTGCTACATCATGAAAAGTGTGAATCATCCGTACATCTATGCCTGAAAAAATGGCGGACAGCACACCTTCCGCAAGTTGTAAAACAGGATCATCCAGTCGTAATTGATACGTCTAATTACCAAGACACAACAATGTGCTGGTTCTAAATCTCCAAGCAGATGAAAGGTCCGGGAAAGTGTTTGCACTCCCTGAGTGGAAGACGAAGAGCTGGAACAATGCAGACCACTTGAAAGACCCACAATGCTGTAAAACACTACTGTTACGGCGCGGTACGAGTCGCAGGTCGTCATACAATCTGGATGTCGTAGAATTTTCAAGCAGACTGTGACAGAATCAAACGTCTAAAATGGTTTGTATCCATGAAGGTTTGTATACTGAACGCCCTTTGGGGCAACACTCCAGCGAGTCTAAGACTGCCTTTCAGTAACAAGACAGCGGAGTTTCGTGCGACACATACTACACACACACACAGTTTGCAATCATACGACGATCGTACGACGAATGTGACCAGACACCGACACGTAAGACACCGAGCCCAACCCTACGTCTACTTGGAGATTACCAAGGTCTCCGACCTTTCCTCAGAGTCAGTGGGTTGAAGTTGCGACGGCCCACTGGCAGATTTTGCAGGTTCCCCCAGAGTTCACACAATCAGTTGAATTCCAATCACGTTCTACGATAGACTGTAGCAATGAGGTATACAGAAAGCCAAATGTGAAGAGACTTAGAACCTTCTGTCCTAATTAGAAATCATCATGGTCAAATTAATGAAATGAATTCCTACATGTATATACGAATGCAACTTTTATGTAGATTTAACGTTTGATTGGGACAAATCCCAGTCTCTACAATAAACGTCCTGGAAAAGAGTAGACATTGGGCAAATACGAGACTGGTAGACAGAGGAATTATCCGACCACAAGAGTACACTGCTACCTACTGTATGCCATTGCTTGCCTTCAATTTCTATTATTTTCCAGCATTCCAGTGGAGTCACTGGGAGACACCAGACAAGTCCAAGTAGACTATGTACGCACTTGACCTTAGAACGGAAGAAGAGACTTACAAGCTAGCTGGAGTCCGACCGAAGTGTCTTATGCGGTTCTTGTGGTCTCTCTGGGAAGGAATAAGTGCTCCCTCTACTGTGGTGAGCCGGCGTCACGACGGAAGGACTGCCAGTTGCGTTCGCTGTACTCGGAAATCCTGCGGTTGACTGTTGCTGTAAATCCGTGCCGGACTTATATATATATAATATCCCTACCGGAAATACTCTGACCCTGGGTTCCCAGAATGAAGCCCCTGCAGCGGACATCTGGGTAAACATTCGGACACGTCAACTTGCCGTGACCATGGTAACTGTGCTGAGGACATGTACCGTGCTGAAGACAAACTCTCCAAGCAGACGTAGATTTGGAATATTGTTACCTTTTTCGATTAATGCAACGTTTACCGTTGTCCGGTAGCTAGCCAAATCAACGGTTGCCTATTGGGTACTGTCTTAGCTACCGAAAAATCTGCTTAGAGGTTGCTGAAGGCGAACACACACTTAGACACAGGAGTATTTGCAATTTTTCTTTTCTATAGTGAATTGCCAAGTTTTGATCAAACGCTGGGAGTCTCAAAAGAGCAGATGTTCGAAGTCGGCTGGGGCTAGGTGTGAGGGACTTGGTGACGTAAACCCAGATGGCATCACGTCACATGTCACATGCCTTTCTAATGCCACACAAACATGTGTAAAACATTCAGCTGCACCCTACGTCTGCTCGGAGATCATGTTGCCCACGGAACTGGAGCATGTGGGAGTGATGACACACCATGACGTAAGAGGGTAGCCATGGTAACATGAGCACTGAATCTGTTGGACCGTGGCTGTTGGTGACCTTCCTACCCACTAGGTCACTATCAGGGTATATGTACAAAGTCTGATGAAAACGTGTTGGACAGATGTGGCAATATCTATGGGCGCATATGGGCCACAGGCCCACAGCAAGTAATGACACACAGATACATACACAGACACACAAACGAACGCCTCTGAAAACATAACCTTATTGCCGAAGGTAAAAAGCTACGGTCTTTATCAATCCTACGCGCAAAAATATCGACGGCTAAAATATAACGTGGTGTGTATGCGTGCAATGTGAAGTGGAAAGGAGGTGTGCATCTAAACAATGCATGTCTGTGACAGGTGAAAGTTATGGCCTGCGGCCATTTGATCATGACCATGTTTGGACCTTGGTTAGACCTTCGATTCTCTTGTTGTGGAATCTCGTCTTTCCACTTGTCATTTCAGACAGTTCTTACATAACCTCAGGGCACGGATAGATCAATGTAAATATCGTACGTGTACAAATACAAATATTAATACAAATGTATATGTATAGATTTATCAGGGCATTAAATGATGTCAACTTTATCTTTTTGATGTATTTTGTCTGACCCTTACCTCTCCCATCATGATCTCAATAAAAACCACCGGGCCAAATTGAGCTTCTCATGAATATAAAATGGTTCATACAAACAAACAAACAAACAAACAAACAAACGAACAAGCAAACAAACAAACAAACAAAATGACAGACGTATCTGTCATTTTGTCCGTCAACTTTCATGTATGCAAACGTGGTGTTGGGGGTGAATGTAAAATGTTTGTTGTTAAGGCACGTGCAATTCCGACTCGAGATACGCGGCCCTCCTCAAACGATTCTAATCTGTGAATGTATCATTCAACAAGTTGAGAAGGCAACCCTTTCTAGCTTGGCCCCGCTCTGAAAGTTCTTCACTGCCAAAGATAAACGCGAATCCGAAGTCGGGCGGCATTTCGGCGACAGCGGCCATTTTTTGTCCTCCCCGTGCTGTTTTTGACGGAGGTGCTTTAAATAGAAAAGGGTGCGGGGCTTAAGTTGTTCGACTGGAGATGGTCACATTAACATATATAGTCCTTGCCTCAAGGTACAAACTCCTTTGGGGAGGGGGGTATAAGCTCTACGAGTCCTGTTAACTTCCGAATCGACTCAGAGAGAACATGAGTACCTTGCTTCAGCTATTTACATCCTACGATGGGACGTAAGTGAACTTACCAACCAACCAACAAACAAACTAACAAACTAACTAACGGACAATACAATATCGGCCCCCAGCATACATGGCAAAATGCCATCGATGAATGGGTCTTACAAAGTTACATTCGTTTGAGTGGGCGGCCAGACCGTGCGGTGTCATTTGATTTCTGACGAGCTGATTATTGTACTTTTTCTTGGTATACTATTCAGGTTTTACAGTCATGAGATGATGATTCAATGGAAACAGACTAGATCAGTATGCACTATGGCGTATATGGAAGATTTGAGACTTACGGGAAGCGACTGTTTCTCAACTTTCTTTTTTATTGCATTTTAGCATAATACTGCTATGCCTTAAATGTTCTTTCTGCTACCGTCTTAAATTCTTGTGTCTGAAAGACGAGTAATATGTTATTACCCAGAAATCTCTTCTTGTACGTTAGCGGTGAGTGCGGTCAGTTTCAATGATGCTCCTCTTGATACGAAGACACTATGGATGTTATGACCAAGAAACCAAATGAAAGTGTAACTTAACGCAGGAGACAGTTTTGGTCTGAGAAAGTGCCATGCTGGGATGTGCTGGAGTACAAACCTGATTGGTTGCAGTCCTGGGGAAGGGATCATGTAGTCTTTATCGCCTGTACGGTCTGGTCTTCTCGTATCCGCATCTAAGGATCTTTTACATAGTTCCACAACAATGAATGAACATCATTTTAATGCATGTCACTGAACATGATGAACGTTGAAAATATTCCGAAGTCGTCTTATGAAGGTTACTGTACATGTTCGCGGAAAGTAATGATACATTTTGCCAAGAAAAGGTATTCCGAACCTCCTCCTACTGCAATATTAATCATCAAAAATTGTAGTATGTAGTCTGTAAGGATGACCTGTGACCTGAACAAACTTCTGTCTTCGGAAATCATATCATAACTGCAGGCGTATCCTTGACATTCATTCTGCGCTCTTCCTATCAAATAAGAGATTTTTGAAATATTGGGTCTTCACCAACCCTTCTTTTGATTACTTTACCTGGTGTATATATTTCAGGAAAGTTACTGGGGTAATTACTGGGGCTTTAAACTCCCACAGAGAAATTAATCATCGCAAATTTCGGCCTTCTCGGAATAAATAGCCCGAAAAAAGGCTCGGATCTTCAGACGTAGGCGAATACCGAAGAAGGGATCATAACACCTTGGAACTGTCAGAGAAGCCAAAGTTTGTCAGTTTTGAGAAGACAGTATCCAGGTTAGTAACTAATATCCACGTTAGCTCGTATATACAACTACCATACACTTCTAAGATTTCAATGTGCGAGCAAATCTTTAAAAGCTTCTTCTTTAAGCAATATCTATTTTCTGCATGTGAAATATGTTCTTTGCGCCATATAAATAAAGCATGTACACTGGTTACAGATGTTTTAATAGAAAATAGTTTTCGGATGGTGAGCTTTGATGTTTACTGTTAATCACAGATGAAAAAAAACTTCTCACTCGTAGAAATAAAGGAAGTTTTTCCAAACACAGTTCTACAATATGTCACCGTCCCGTCTTGTGTCCGTGACCCTCCTTTATACCGTCCTGTGCGGCCTGACCCTCGGCAACGTGCGACGCCCAGCCGTGGTGGCGTGTCGCTTCTCTCGGTACATCCGCAATGTCCTGTCAGCTGACAGCGTTTTACAGGTGAGTGTGTCCTCAATTTCCCCCGAATGTGTTTAGAAGGTTTTATGATGAATACTTATGGTACTGGGGGCTTTACTTGGTTGCATAGGGAGCATTTGAGCTCAGCACAAATTCAGTCAGTTTATATATGTACTCTAAACTATGGCTGATGCCCGCGGGTTATTAAACTATGACCTAGCTCGCGTGACTCACGTCGGTCGGGCATAATACAAGCTTCCCCCAGCTTGTGATTCCCAAGTCATGTTCAGCTCGAGAACACTTCGATATAACTCAAATTCTAGTCAAGGAGGTCAGGACAGTGACAGTGACAGTGTTCAGGCTCTCCACCGACATGGCAGGACAGGGCAGTTCTGTGAAGGGTCGCGGCAGAAGAATGACCTCAAGACGAATTCGGCGCCTTTGCGAAATGGCGGACTTGGAACAGGTTGTGAAGCCTCGCTGCACACTGTACGTGCGGGGTGAAGTGCGCAGCACTGTCGCCACCCCACCCCCCATTGTTGAAGGAACCACTGTCGCTATGTCGAACATGTCCATATTTTTGTTTACCTTGTCCCCGCAACGACCAGTACAGGTCGCGGGACTAGGTAGGTACATGTAGGTATGCAGAATTGTCGACCACGCCCAGCCTTCGGCCAAGCTTAAGGGCGCACTGGCAAAACTGAGTCATTAGCAAGTCTTCTTATGACGGTTTACGTTCGCGGAAAGTAATTATACATTTCGCTGAAAAGGGGCTTGACCAACCTCCTACTGAAATATTAATCATCGGCAAATGTTTGAGACCCTTTGCTGGAAAATGCGTGGATCCAAGTCTATCTATACATGTACATTTCGCTTTACGTTCGCGGAAAGTAATAATACATTTCGCTGAAAAGGGGCTTGACCAACCTCCTACTGAAATATTCGGGCGTTTTCCCGTGTTTCAGAACATTAAAACTATTGCCAGCTCATCTCTTCTCCTTCTCATTTCTTAAGTATAGCATGTAGTGTGAGAGTGTAGATAATTGATTTTCTTATCTATATGAATGGAATTTCAGCATCGGAGTAACCCACACATCACACAATCGGTGACATGAAATGGCCAGTATCGAACGTACATCATCGTGAATGTTAAGGCCATGCCATATATACACCCGCAATACCATTTTGTAGTGTAGCTTGTGTAACCTATGCCAAGAAGGTTGTGTCGTCGTTCGTGTGTGTGTGTGTGTGTGTGTGTGTGTGCATGTTTGTGTTTGTGTGTGTGTGTGCGTGTTTGTGTGTGTGTGTTGTGTGTGTGCGCGCGCGCGCGCGCGCGTGTAGGTGTCTGTCTGTCTGTAAACTTGATAACTCGATAAAGCTTACACGGATTATCTTGATATTTGGTAGGTGGGTAGGTCTTGATGGGACCTCGAAATGATTAGATTTTCCCTGGTGGTTTGCTATGGTACTGCAGCAGATCTCGTGATTTGGACGTGCTAGGGTCACGGGATTTTTGTACTCGAGAAGTGACGTGAGTTAGGGCCTCCTAGCAGCTTGTTCGGAAACTACAGGGGGCGTTTGTT